TGGATCAAATGCATCCTCAGCAAGTGTTCAGACAACACTAGGAGTGTCAATCTGCTGCAGGCCAGGATGGCTCTGCTGGGGAATCTGGACAGGCTGGATGAATGGGCCAAGGTTAGCTGCAAGAGTTCAACAAAGCCAAGTGTCAGGTGCTTCCCTTGGGTCACAACAACCCCAGGCAGCGCTGCAGGCTGGGGGCAGTGGCTGGGAAGCTGCCCAGTGAAAAAGGACCTGGGGGTGCTGGTTGACAGCAGCAGAACATGATCCAGAGTGTGCCCAGGTGGCCAAGAAGGCCCATGGCATCCTGGCCTGGATCAGCCAGGTCTGGCCAGCAGGAGCAGGGCAGTGACCATCCCCCTGTACCCAGCACTGCTGAGGCCACAGCTCCAATCCTGTGTTTGGTTTTTGGCCCCTCAATAAAGGTCACAATTAAGGCACCCTGAAGCCTTCTCTTTTCCAGGTTAACAATTCCAGTCCTCTCAGCCTTTCCTTATAGGAGAGATGTTTCATACCTCTCATCAGCTTGGTGGCCTTTTGGATTTCCTCCAACAGGTAAGTGTCCTTCCTATGTTGGGAACCACAGAACTGGATCCAGTACTCAAGGCAGAGTCTCATGAAAATAGAATATAGAGGCAGAATCTCCTTCCTTGAACTGCTGCTGGCCATGCTTCCTTTCGTGCTATGAAACAGAATTGAATGTTAGGAAAATAGGTTGAAATAGGTTAGGAAATACTTGAAAATAGGTTAGGAAATACTTTTTCCCCAAAACAGTTGTCACATATTGAAACAGGCTGTCCAGGGAAATGGTGGTGTCTCCCTACCTGGAGTTACTTAAAATAGATGTGGATGGGGTACTCAGGGACATGGTTTAGTAGTGGGCTTGGCACTGATTGGTTAACAGTTGGTCTTAGAGGTCTTAGTGATCTAAAAGTTATTTTCCAAACTAATATATTCCATGATTCCTTGATTCTGTGATTTTTCATTCAAAGCAATTCACAACTTTAAGATGTTTCTCACTTGAAAATTAGTTATCCAGTTTGCATGCTTTTTCATGCCAGTACTACACACTAATTAATTGTATACTAGTAATGCCCACATATACCGTGTTGACCACAAAGCAGACAAAGCACAGTCCTTTTCACTAAAATATATGGAATCCAAAGCCAAGATTTGCTTTTCTGAGTCCTGTATATGATATGTCAATTTATTATCATTGAAGCTCTATGTTACCCTGAAATGACTCTCTTAAAATCACATGTAGCATCTTGTTGACTACTTTACACAAGATATTGTGCCATTTTTAAATGTAGTTTACAAATTTAAGATATGAAGTGAGGTGTTGATTCATATTTAAATGCTAGAAGATCAAACCATGTAAATGGCCTTAGTAAATATTTTAGACATATTAGGAAAGCAAAAAGGAAGAAAGAAGACAAGTACTGACAACTGGTAGGAGCTTTTATACTACACTCAACATGTATTTGAATATCTTTCACAGTTTCTGTGCTAATAAACCACCAGTTAGTTGTTAATATTATAAATTATTCTTTATGAACATGAAGAAAGAAATGCACCTCAGATTTGTCAAATTGATTTTTATGTGAGTTATGATTAGACAGGGAAATACTGCTGCTGTATTCCTGGAAGGACCCAAGCAAGAAATGCATTTATGATTAAATTCCTGGTCATACAGTCAATCTTCACTGTGTTATACCAGTATTTAAAAGACTTATTTTTTCATACATCTTCTGTATTTCTAGTTGTCTCCCACAGACTCTCCAAACCTCCTGGGTTTTGTCATGGTAACAGCTTAATTTATCTCAATTCAGCCCGTGTGATGAAAATTTGTCAGAGAACTCTCTACAGTGCCCCCAGATATTTGTTTGCTTTGGTATTCTGAGTTTATACCTGACAACACAGGAAAATTTCAAGTTCCTTTTTTGACTTACCAAACTGAATTAATAAGAAAATTGGTTACAATGGCCATTGTGAAATAATTTTGCCCCATTTCCTTCTTAGATTTGGTAATATAAGGCCTATCATGGCACTTAGAACAGTACTTTGAAATAAAAGTTTTCAATATTTTCTTGCTCAACAGACAAGAGATGGACTTCAGCATTCATTAAAAGCATACTGGAATAAGGAGATACCAGCTAAGCACAACAAATGTCCAGCTCCATTCTAAACTAAACTCAGCTTGGGAAGGTGTAGCCAGCAAACTGGGGGAAAATTAATATTTTCTGTATGTCTTCAGCGTTCAACATTTGCAACAGACTTTACTGTTAAATTTTGCACTGAATTACACCTAAGTCTGTATTTTAATTTTGCATAATACTACTGGAAAATACTTTGATAAAATATTTATGAACAAAGCCATTTTAAGAATTTATATTTGCGGGAGAGGTAGCTAGTCCAGCTGTTCCAGCAATATTTTCCATGCAAAAAACTGACTTTTAAAATGCTCTTTGCCATTACAGAACTGGGCTGTTTGCAATACTTATTTGAATTATTTAATTAAGAATTATTGGCAAAAACCTGTTTTTTTGGCCAAGATTGCTGTTCACCAGTGAAAGCCAACTGAGCCTTACCATTCTTACCATGATGGTTTCGTACAAGAATATCACTTCTACAGAATACTTTCGTTTTTATTTTGACGGTGCCCACTGTCTGATGTGCAAAAAAACCCTGACAGATCTAAAGAAAGAAAAAGTCAGCGATTGTTCCTATGTCTATTCATGAGAATGCAGATTACAAAACCTTTCAGTGGTTTCTGTTATTGGCTGTGCTATTACAAGCAGCTTCTTCAGAGAAGAAATTCAGGCAAATTATTACAGCTGAAGTTTTTTCACTGACACAAACACACACTAGACTTGATAAAAATCCTCACCTTTAGCCACCTTATTCCTTTTATCTTGGGAGATACTCATTAGCTTCTGCCTCAGTGACAGCTAGGTCAAAGCTGATCCAAAGTCCAAGAAAAATATTCAGCCTGGATGGAGATAAGAAATCTGGTCAAAATTTGCAAACAAAAAAGAGCAAAATGTGTCATCTTACTTGATATAAAATGTTGTCCCACTCAGTACTTAGCACAGATGCTGCCTGGGTGAGTCATTTGTGCAATATACTATAAACACAAATCAGTTCGTTTCTTGGAAAACACAGAGTGGAACTTGAGCTTGTTCATATTCACAGAGCTATTCCATTTCTATTTTGAAAGTTTGGTCTGTATGAGGTTAGCAGAATTAGGACCAACTTATAAAAGAGTTGGTTTGTTATTAAAGTTTGTCTTCCGTTAGCTACACAGATATGAAGGACATGCCAAATTATTTTAAAAATATTGGATATGTCTTTTAATTAAAATTTGTTGTGAGTCTTTTTCTGCTCACTTTTCTAGGCTTTGATTCAGCAAAGCACTTAAACATGTGCCTGGTCTCAATCCCACCAAGTAGTCTCATGGTAGCCAAGGGAAACAAGCATATGGTAATGGATGTGTTTAAGAGGACACATGCAATTGTTTTGCCTACAAGCACACAGGATAGAGGCAATTATGTATCAATTTCTTTTTTAACGCATGGTGTTCTTCTGTTTTCTATCTTCCTTAGGTTCTTTAATCATCTATTTAAAAATAGCATATCAAAGTATGTTACAGAAATATGCGATCAGACTGCTGCCAAGTCAATTTCAATTAAAAGAGGAATTTTTATGTTCAGCTGAAAACAAGACACTTGAATTTGTTGATAGTTTTATATTATTTGTAAACAGTTTATTCTGAAATTTGTACATATACTTAACAAGTTGTGCATTATAAATTTGGAATGGTTTGGGGTTTTTTATTAAATATTTATTAGCTCTGCTAAATGGCTTGGAAAGGATCAGCAGACATCTTTATCTTCTGCTTAAACCTTTGAGGTAACAAACTAGCTATTTCTAATTTTTAACAGGAATGACCGATACTTTTGGAGTATCAAAACATTATTTTTCATCATATGGATAGAGCTTCTGAATGGTTACTTCCACAGAAAATTAGCTCCCATTTTGTCCCATTTACTTACAGAATTTCTCAGTCACAAAAACTGTAATGCCACAGCCCCCTTTCCCTCCAACAAAAATTGCTAAAACCTCAGCATTTTACAAGATTTCAAAGTAATTGAATTCTGTATATGTAGAAAATTTACAACTTTTCCCCCTAGGGTTACTATACACTCTGGGACAATATTACATATTCTGTGTTGAATTTATGTCAACTTCAGAGTGAAATCCATGCACATTGTAGGTTTTGCCGCACTGAGCATGATAATCTGTCCATAGTATTTCCAGGGCCTGATCTTTTGAGCTTTGAGCTTTCTCAGTGATGAAGACAACTCATTTTCACTCCAAGGCAGCACCTTGCTTTAGATCAGTGGACAAACCACCAACTTGGGTGACAGTTGGCCTATTGTAAAAAGAGGCATTTAGTCTCCTCGAAGAAGGGTCTCTGGATTTGGAATTTGCTGTAGCAACACTTGACTGAAGCATCTGAGTATCTTCAGGGCGTGTTTTCTGTGCAAACAGCTGGTATATATTTATGTGTGCATGCTGGTATATATTTATGTGTGCATGAGAGTGCATGTTCAGTTGCTGCTGAACAAAAGGGTGGTTTAGGTTCTTTGAGTTTAGGAATGCATAACTTTGAATCATGCTACTGTTTTTAGGTCTAAATAAAGATTTTACAAAATTATTAAATTTTATTGTGGTGACTGGGGGCCTTTCTAGTATTTTAAACTACTAAACAGACAGAAAACAAATAAATGCTAAAGCTTTCTCTGATTTCAAATGATCACATATTCTCATTTCTACCCAATATAACTGCAATCCCTTTCTGCAAAGTTAACATCATAATATAGCTCACAGAATTAATGTTTTAAAAATAATTCTATAAATGGTATATACTATATTCACTATAGAAATTGAAATTGCAAACATTTCTGAATCTCCCAAACCCTCACATTATGTATTGTCTTTTTGCTAGGTTGAAATACTGGAGACCATTTTCTAATATGCTATGAATGAGAAATACTCCTGATGAAATAAGACTATTGTACTTACTATACTAGATTTGCCTTCAGACTTGGAGAATAGATTGCTGCTAAACATAGTGAAGGTCAGAACTGAAATGAGAGTATTTTGTTTTGTATAGGTTGATACCAGCTCCTAGAAGTGTCACTTAATTGGCCACTGTTGATGGTATGGATAATGAATCAATGGCATTGCTACAACAGTGGAGAGCAGCAGGTAAGAGTGAGGGGGTAGGAAATCTATACTATTTTAGTATCTTGAAGTTGGTTGCTAAGCACTAGCATGATGTGTAGAGTGTATTCAATGCCATTCTGAGCAGAAAAAGAAATAAGAAATTGCATGTTAAAGAAAATGTGGCTGCTGTTTATAGAGTCACAATTATTGGAGACGATTTAAGATATGATACTTATAAGAGCTTGCTCAAAAAAAGTAGATTGCAAAATAAAGAAAAGAACTCCTTTTATTAGTATATTTTAGCCTTCAGCAGTTCTATGATTCTATGGCTGGAGTAAGGGGTAGTGGTAGAAATAGTGAACATAGTTATTTAGTGTTTAAATACAAGCCCTTGCTCAGGATTTGTACATGGCTCTCTTTCAGAGAAAGTCAGCCAGCATTTATCCTGGCTTGGGACAGATTCTTCAGCTACTTATAGTTTTGGAAAATCCAGAAAAGCAGTGTCAAGATTGACACTGTAAAGGAGAATAGGAAACAACTCTTCACTTTTTTTTTTTTCACAGCACAGGAACTAACAGACATGAAATTAAATTATGGGGTAGCAGGCTTCAAGCAAACAAAAATAAGTTAATTGTGTGCAATATTCATAATTAACTTGTCCAACCTACTGCCACATCGTACTAGCAATGCCAGAGGCATTGATGAGTTCAAAAAGTAATAAAAGAAATTCAGAAAATAAAATCCCATTAAAACCTTTTTAAAAAAGTACTCGTGAGTCTGCAATGACCTAATTCACAGACTGGGAGTTTATCTGAGAACTATCAAATATGGTTGCCTCATGCTTATTTTATTTATCTAGGTTTTTTTTAGCTCACATCACACAGGTGCCTGGACTAGATGAAACTCTGATTTGACTGGACATAATGACTCATATTTTCTTATAGATTCTAAAAGTCTCTATGTTAACTTACGATGTGATGGGACAAAATTTCTGTTCAGGTTTGTTCTTGACTGATATTGCTCTAACACTGCAATATGATTTTTACTGACCTCCTCGTTAATCCTTCAGATGTGGATTTAAGAAGCTCACAAGAATATGAATCAGAACACTACAAATTTTATCTTCTTTATAGGTCCATTACATGGTGGATCCCGCAAAAGTCCTTCTGTATAAAACAAGCAAATGAAATGCAGACTTCTGCTGTTGCACCATATGGGTACCCTTATAATGTAACAGAAAATATTTTGACAGTCACAGATTACTTCCATTGGAAAAGCAGCGCTTGATCCAAGCTAAGACTTTAGCTCAGAACTAAACTCCTCTAGATAGGAAGAAACTAAGCCAAATGTAAAGGACAGCAGCAAAATTCAGTAAATTACACAAGGTAAGAATTAAAGGAATTGTTATATTTTTATGATTTTGTTTCTTAATTTGCATGGTGATGTTGCTCTGTCAGTGAGTAGTAGGGGTAAGAAGTGACCAAAAAGCCCTGCTTACTATCTGTTCTGCCTCTTCCTTGATGAATTTATACATGCAGGAAAAGTGTAGACTTGGCAGAACAGTAATGCTACTATTCTTTCCCATGTCCCAAGTCTAAAAATCCAGCAAAAGTGCCCAGGAATTTCACAAGATAGAATTTTGTCTTTAACCATCTCACTTTGTTAGTATTATAATTGAATTGTAATTTTTTCAAAAAAGTGTAACACAAACTATTATCAAATGGAAAAAAGTAGTAACCTGGGTATTGTTGGTACTCTAGAGCACACTCCCTAGTTTTTCCTTATAGGCTAGTCATTTTGAGTTTCTACAACATATTTTCACTAAGCGCACCTATTACTGCTGAATCGGTCTTTGATGTTACTGGAATACTTCACATTAAATGAGTTAAAGTTTCAAAGCTGTAGTTACCTGTGGAGACTGGTACAATTCATTTCCTACATTTATTGCTCATTAGCACATGTATGAAGCAGTTTCTTGCACCTTGTATATCTGTAATGAATATTAAACCATCTCATCTACTCATAATAATATAATGGCTCCTGTGATGACAGACTCTGTTTGCACAGGAAGCAGATGTTGGTGTTTACCTAGATGTAATTTGCAATGATGAGTGGTAGTGAGCCGAGATTTTTTCCTGCCAGAACAATTCAGTCTAGGTTAAGCTTCTGCAAAATCTTTTATATGCCATTGTGGTCTCTTAGGTTATTATAGATATATATCTTTTATCTCAGTGAATAATTGTGAATCTATATCAAGATATTAAATTATACATATAAGAAAAATATTTATTTAAAGATATATTTACTACATTTCTGAAATGTGATGTCAAGGAAAAATTCTGGGTAAACTCTAACCAAAGATGAAAACAGCATTTTTTGGGTCATAAATGGATTTCTGACAAATAAATATGGTAGGAATTATTCAGAGAAGATGCCAGTAGCTGGAAAATGAAATCAGTAACTCGTAAGGTTGAAATAAAAAACATTTATTTTAGTAGAGGAGTGCCATGCACTACAGTGAATTACAAAAGGATGATATGAATTCTCCATCATTTAGAGCCTTTAAATCTGGGCTAGAAATCTTTCCAAAAGATACTTTTTAGTTCAACTTGACAAAAATTGATGGATGATTTTTTTGTAATCTGTGTTATGCCAGAGATAAAAAAGAGTGATATTGGGATTTCTTTTGGTTTTAGTATCTGTAAAATCTATGATATAATGAAATATAATCAGATAACCACATGTATTTTACTTATGAATTCTACCTAAATTTTTTTGCTTTTGGACATAATTTAAAACTTAAGACAAATAATGTCTCAGGAATTCCGTTTTGAATTTGGAGCTGTTCTTCCCTATGTTCAATTCTTTTGTCATCTCTTTCTAATCTCAAAACATGTCTTCTCATCATCATGCTCACATTTGGAGTTGGGAACATAACAGTCTTTCTTGATGAACAATAATTTATGAGTTTCAGGCCCACTTCTCTGAATCTGCTTTCTTGTTGTCAGTATATTACCGGTATTTGCTTTTTGTCACTTCTTGGAACCGTGAAATTACGTCTTAATGAAATTAATAGTCAGATATAAATCTATAACTGTAATGATCATGTCAGTGCTATATACAGAGAGCCTCAAAAGTCACCACTCATATCTGAAAATATTTTGTGTTGAACAGAAAAATGCGGAAGGCATGTCCAGAAGCAATCTTTTCCTTTGTTGTTTCCTAAATCATACCGTTGGCTCCAGACACAATAAACCCAGAGAAAATACAGATCTTCTGTCTCTCCTTATTTTCATCAAAGTGAATGTGGTACTGCTTGGCTGAAAGTGGTATTCTAAATTTAAATCAGTTGCAGTTACAGTGGACTTAGTCACATTTTTTTTCCAAATTTTGGGGTTCCTTGTAGATTCATAGTTTTCTAAACCTTTAAAAAATTAGTCCACACTTCAATGTGAATAAAGATTTTGCTCTGATCACTTGCAGAAAACTGGCCTTAAAATCTCTCCTTCAAGGCCATTTGGAATGATCTGGAATCCCACATGCATTTGTAACTGTATCTATTTATTTTTTTTCAGACAGCACCTTTCCACTCTCTAAGGTCTTGCTTTTGGGGCTCTTTTGAAATTCATTCTCTGTTTTCTTTTGCTAATTTTGTCCTGCTGCATCTCTTCTGTATCCTGAAAATGCCTTTTCCTCCTTGACATTTAGACTCTTCAAGTATTTATAGATTGTTACCAGGTCCCCCTTTAGTCATTTCTTAGACAAACTATGCATATTTAGCACTTGCAATCAATCCTCATACATCAATCACTCCAGAAGTCTAATCATTTTTGCATCTTTCTTCAGATCTTCCTCCAATATGTGAATATCCTTCTAATAAGATGCCTAAAATTAAATACAATGGGTCATGTCTGCAGCTCATGTAAATCAGTGTGACTCTGCTGAAGACTCTGTTGATTCATGCTGGCTAAAGTTAAAGAGCAACATTTCTAGTGCAAAGATATCAAAACCTTATATATTTTGTGACGTGAGCCTGAAACCACAGAGCTTTTTTTCATAGTAATGCTTCTTTGAATTAATTTTCATCACTTAGCTACACTTTTCAATAGAGAATTTCCAGTTTGCTTTCTTTAAAACATCAAAATAATCTGAATTTTTGTATTTTTATTAGTTCTCGGGTTGGCTGTTGATGTTCTCTGCCCCGAGATGCACAGGAAGTCTCTGCTTCAGCCTGCGCAACTGAAGAATGAGTCTGGACTCTTCATTTTTCAGTCTTGAGGTAGTTTATTAATTCTTATCTATAAAATTTTCTTTCTGCCCAGCCAAGATCTGCTCAGCAAGGCAGCCATGAGCACTCTGACCGCCCCTAAGGCGGTATCGTCTTTTCATACTACAAACTACATATAACATATTTACTCTTAATTCCCAATATCTATCACCTATGTTAGACAGTGCACTTCTATTTTAAACCAATACCAAAGTGCCAACATCACAGCATGGAGAACAAGAAGAAGAAAGAAGAAGGACTAGACAAGCCCTGATTCCTCCATCTTGTCCCCTTAACCCCCATACCAAAAATCCTAAAATCCACATTTTCATCCTGTGAAGACTTTATTATTATACTTTTCAAACCTGTGTGACTTTCACATCCTCATACAAAGCTGGCAACTCACTGCAAGGGTCAAAATCAAGTCCCTAGGTGTTCTGGGCAGCATGCCAGGGTCTCTGAGCCCCTCCAGCCTTGGCAATTCTGGACATCCAAAGGGATGTGTTGAGTTCCCACAATTAGTGTTTTGAGGAGCTCCTTCAGCCTCCCTGACGTACTTCCTTTCCATCCCTGGCACAGCCATGTGTCCCAGACCTCTAACTGGAGGTCTCTGCTCACAGACCATGGCCACACAGAGGTGGTGCAGGTTTAGAGTGGCTGTGGGAAGCATGGCTCTAGCTCAGAAGGGAACAAGCATCAAGGGCTGGCATCCTCCCAAAGCATATTTCCTATGTGGAGAGAAAGATTATAATCCACCTTGCAGCAGTTTATCTACCTTTGGAGTCCTCTTTGTCACTCTGCTGGCTCCATCAAACATCCATCCCTCAATACGTTCATTCCAAAATCAGATTTTTTTGTGTCATTATAATCCAACAAAGGTTGTGCAGACTCAGAGAAATACATGCTTATTTTTTAAAACTTTTTTTTTGAACTAGCTATGGCTAGAGGGCAAAAGTAACAGCCCTAATTGGGCTACTAATAGCTCTAGGCCTCAGGTATTGTCAATGGAGATGAATACACTTTTTTTCTGGATAGTTAATACAGCATTTGGTGGAACAAATTAGCACTGAAAATAAGTAAAAATGAAATGTGTAAATAACTTACAAAATAGGGTATCACTTCTAGCTGCAAAATGGTAACTTTCCATTAGAAATACTGTAGAAGTGCTGTCATAATTAAATTTCACAGGATTCATCTCGAGTAATATATTAAAAATACACACACACAGAGTTAGTGAGGAAACCTATTTCACTATGTCACTATGGTCAATTCTGTCCTGAATTGACTCCGTTTAGGGGAGAGGCATGGATTACTGTTATCTCTGGACCATTGTTTTCACAGTACTGAATTTATATATTTATAATTTTTTTTTTCACTAATGTGCAATACAATTGGCCATACTTTGGAGAAATCAGTGTCTTTGCAAATGTTTTGTGGGTGAGGCAGCACTCGGTTTCAAGCCAAGACAGCATCTTCTTCAGAACGGACATTGTTCAGACTAAAACTTCTTTATTTGAAAAAGTACAGAAGCCAGGCCACTTTTTAATTGATAATCATAAAGGAAACCTAGTGACTTATTGTTGCTTTAGAAACTGTTTTGCATATGTGTTTCCCCCCCCCCATTTTATTTTTTTCAATTTACACAAATTTCTCTAGTCTTTTCATTTTGAGAGAGTGTTTTCTGCTTGATTTCCTTCAGAACCACTTAGTACAACTTCTGTTCCACAGACTTATAATTCCACAGGGAGGAGTAAAACAAATGCCATCTAAGCTATAAACTATATGCCAAAAAACCTTTCCATCCAGTACTGAAGGAGTCCTGTGATAACATAGAAGTCACCTGTATTTGTTCCAATAATTAGGGTCACAACATTGGGATAAAGGGGATTAGCATTTGTTATATTAATATATATTTATATATATATATATATATGTATATATAGTAGTATATATAAATATATATGTTTATATATACATATACACTAGTATATATATACATATATATGTTATACATATATGTATGTATATGTGTGTATATCTATCTATCTCTATATATATATATATCTACACAGAGGGAAAAACAAAAGCTTTCATGAGATGATATATATATATATTAGCATTGTGTTTCACCACAGAGAAGTATAGAGATAAACACGTTTTGAAATTTCCCTCAGCATAAATCAGCATATGATCATGGTTCAAGTAGATTAGACTTTTAGATGCTGAGTAGGCTTCTGAGATAGACTGTCAACCAATTATAAAAAACCTATGGAAATAGAAATTTGTCATAGAAAACAATGAGGTCATCTACTGGGCTTGTTCCCCCTTAGGATACTCTTGTTCTGCATGGTACTTCCCTAACTACTTCTCACAAATTCTTTCCAACAAGTATAGGGATTCATACTGCACTCTAAATGTAGATTACAACTAGGTCTCTGTTTCTGACCTTGTACACCTCTTAAATGTTTTGCAAGGAGTGATGTGAAGGGAGTACAAAATATTGATTTATGAGGTTTGATAAACTAGCAAGCTAATATTGAGTTGCCTCCTCTCTTCCTTGAAAGCTCAAGGCTGCATTCTCAGAGGATTTATTGTGACTGACTTCAGAAAAACAGAGGTTGCTCCAGTCACTGATGGTAAACTAGTAGCTACGTGTACCTATTTTACATCCATGGCTCCTTGTCACAGTAGACAAAACAGATATTTTTGGTTCTAAGGATGAAGGAATGAAACTGAACTGTGCTTCCTGTTGGAACTTGCTGGGAAAGGGGAGGCAAAAAAGTGGGAAGATACAGCAAAAGCATCTGAATAGGTTATTACTGTTGCCAACTGTCCATTTGCCCATGCCTACAACAGACACTGCTTTCTAGGCAATCTTAGGACACATATTTTAGCCTCGTTGTCCCAGACACATCACTGATATTGCATCTTTAGGATTGGGATATTAAGGAATGATCCTGCCTGCCTTGTAAAACAGTCTGTGGAGCCTGCCTGTGAGGAGAAGCAGAGGAATTCTGGGACTGATTGCGTCACTTGGTAATTGACTGACAATAAAATGGTCAATGAAATATGAAATACTGCTCAATGGGAAAAGTAATCATATCTATGCAGATACAAATATGATTGCAAAATTTGTTACGATCGAAGGACTCTCAAAATTACTATGATGGTTCTTTGAAGAGAGCTTAATGCCCAGTAAGCTCAGAACAGCAAAAAGTGATACTAGAAGTTGTTAGGGAAGGAAGGTAGAATGAAGCAGAAAACATCATTAAGGGAGCATATAAATCACAGCGACATTCATAGTTTTTAGTAATACAGTGCATTTGAATATTCTCATCTGAAAAGTGTCAGGCAGAAATAGAAAAGCAGAAACAAATGTGACAAGGATGAGCAACAGTGCAGAACAGCTCTGTTTTTAAGGGAGATTAAACAGAATAAGACTTCCAATTTGGAAAAGCTGTGATATGGTAAAATTTTATAAAATCAGGAATGATGATCATTCATTAGCTCTCAAAGAGAGCAAGAAGTTGTCAAGTGATATTTTTCAAGCAGCAGCTTTAAAACAAGTGAAGAAGTTTTCTAATATGATTGCAATTAAAATGTGGAACTCATTGCCACAGGATATTACGAAGAAAAAGGTAGAAATGGATTCAGACAAATTTACAGGAAGACTATAAAAAACCCTCAGGGACTGTTAAATACAAATATCTGAAGTCATGCTTGATTTAAGAAATCCTTAAACTAGTAATTATCAGATACTTATAGCTTTCAAATTTGTCTTGTTCTTATGTAACTTCCTTAAGCATCCAGTGTCCACTGCTGCTCCCTCTCAGAGCACTGCTTCAGGTCTTGGACTACAGTCCTTTCAGGCGCTCTCCTGTCATTGTCTGCTGAAAGAAATGCCAGTGATCAGAAGGAAAGATGGTCACCAGGTACTGTAGAATGTGTTTTGGGGAGTCAGCTGACAACAACAAATTCCTCTGTTTTTCTAAATGTTGCCTGCAGAGATTATTAAGGTAACTGAAGCTTTTCAGAGCTTCTGAAACTAACATTTCTGTGCTTAGAAATGACCTGCATGCTTGTGAGGCAGAGAGCATGAGTGTGTGCTGCAGCAGTGTGATCTCCTCTCCTACACGTGTCATATCAATGCGATTCCATTGCAACCTCCATCCCACAGGTATACTCAGGGAACTGTTCATACAGCCAATTTGATCCTTGGTTTTGGCAAACATTATTCTTAAACACGCCAGCAGCACAGAGTGATTTCTTGTGAGGCACCAGTGACCAGATGAAAATTAAAATTTGTCATTCAACTGAACTTTTGGCTGTATTGGTGTGAAAACAGTTCAGGAAAATAATCTTCTGAGTGTAAGCAATGAAATAGAGAAAAATATCCAGATTTATCATACCTCACTAATGTTTCCAAATATCTCTAAATTAATAGTATTTTGTTCTATTTTAAATTCTGACCCATTTTTGTGGCTTTTTAATTTACTCATTACAGTGACAAGTTTTGACTAACCAGACAAAAATTTTTCTGATTTTTTTTCCTTAATAATTTTCTAATTTTTCTGAATGGCAACTTGCAATGCTGCATTCCTGCCAAGATTTGTCATTGGTGTGTGAGTCCAGAGATGATATTGACTATGAAATCGTATCCTGCACAACTACTAGTATTTTCTCTAGATCTTTAAAGAACTAGAAAAGTACTGAGGAACTGGTCCTATAAATCCAATATACTCTGGTCCTTTTCTAGATCAAGACAAGGCTGTAAAAGAACATAAGACTGTAGCTTGCAGACCAAAGTTAGATTTTCCATGTAGTACTATCTGACCATTACCCTTCTATTCTGCTTGCTATAATTTAAGCAAAGCACATTCCTGGTCTAAGGCTTCAAAAGGTTTCTCCTCTCTGCTTTCTCTCTTTGGATTGGTTTTTATAGTAAGTCAATAATATCAGTGCCCTTAACTACAGAGAGTGTCCATCCAGTCAAAGCACAACAAGCAACAATTTGTTCTTATTTCAAAAATATATTTTTTTTACCAAAAAAATATAATTTCTAGTTCATATTACTTTAGGAAAGAAGACTTCACTGAAATGCAATTTCAGGTTTTGAAGTGGGCATTATAGAAAAATAAGCAACTTCTCTACTTCCTTTTTTATTATCCCTTTGGAAATTTAAATTTAAAAAAAAGAAAAGAAGGTATAACCTCTTACCTTTAAAAGTAATTTGTTTCATGCTGGTAAGCAGCACTTTTGCTATTACATGTTTATTCACTTCAAAGCATGACCATGCTACTTCATCTCCAAAGAACGATTTTAGCACTCTACTGTTTTAACACAGTTAAGCTGGAAGGCAGTCAAGGGATGTGAGGAAGTAATTTGTTGTACATTTAATGGTGTGAAGTATCCACCAGGGAAAACTTAAAAGATTTTTCTGTTTCCTCACAAAAGTGTCCCTGAGTGAAATTCCAATTTCCTGAGTTGTTCTCTGATTAGCTTTTCACAACTCTGTCCTGTGTCAGACAATTGGCAAGAAAACAAAGATCAGGCTTTTGTTGATATTCATGAACATTGCACCTTTATCATCATCCCATTGGTGATGTCTCCCGGATTTGGTATGAAGGAAGCTTCACAACTGCTGAGCTTATCTTCAGGAACCAGTCCTGTGGCGCTCTGTAACTGCGTGAGGCTGGAGCTAATCTGCTGCTTAACTCTGTTCCTGTGGGGATGCCGAGCTCTGCAGCAGCTTAGCACCAGCTCTGTGGAGCTCAGGCACTCCTGGGCCATGGGCTGCTGTGCATCTAAACCATCACTTACCCACTGGTCCCTCACTGCTCCCCTTGGACCTCCATCACACAGGAGTCTGCATTAGCAGACTCTTCTGTGGCCCAGGGTTAAAATGAAGAATGTCTTTCCTGCAATCTCTATCTAGTTCTTCCTTAGAAAATAAATGCAAAGCTCAACAAAGCCCTGTTTAGAGAAAGCTTTTAAGGGATGCTATGCTAGAACTGTACTACACAATTCTCAACACGCTGAGGAGTTCAATTAATAACACAATGCTCCTTTGAGCAACGAAACCTCTTTATTTTTTGAGAGAATTCCTGGAACTGAGGGAGAAGATTGATTTGCTTTTAACCTACACTGAATTAGATATTGCATATTAGAGCTGACCTTCTGGTTTAGTGTTTGCTTTCCATTAAATAGAGAAAAGCTTCCAAAGAACTCCTTGAGACATTCTTTATGAGACTTCTGTGAGTTGCTACTTGCCTTCATACACCAATATTTCTATGTGGCATGAAGTCAGTCTTTTCCTTAGTTTTCCTTAAATACTTTCTGTCATAAATACAAGGTTCATCACAAAAAAAAATTAAAAAAGGGTGTTTTGATTATTACTAACATAAAGCTCCTTGGATAAGTGGCTTTTCATTAAACATATTTTATTTCTGTGAGCAGTTTTTAATAATTAAAAAACTGACATGTGCACCCTTCTTCTTATAAATAGCATTTATATCGCTACCATGGACATCCTATTTCAGAAAACAAATATGTGGGATTTTTTTTTTTTGTTTGGGCAGTAGGAATAGATGCGTGGATTTGCATGCTCACAAGGCTTTTGTGTGTTACGTTGAAAAAGAAATTATTCTTATATCAACCTGAAAAATATATTCTTAAATAAAGTTCCACATGTTCAGTCTTAATGCTAATGTACTAGGGCTTAACTAACAGTTTATTGAGTCCTCTTAGAGATTTCTTCTATAGATGTAAGCAGAAGTTATTTCAGCATTTAGAAAGAGCAGTGTGTACTAAAGTGGGAGAGAGTTGAGTTTGCTATGGCTATTACTTTAACACATTTTCTGATTAATTCATTAATGTGTCATTCCTCAAAAATTAAATGACACTTCATTGCAGTAGTCTGAGAAAATCCTGATAATACTTTAATCTACAGTATTTTCAGCAAACTGCTCAAGGTTTTCAGCAAAAATGTTTACCCGATGGAGTTATCTTTAAAAAAAATTGCACTAAGTCTGCCTCACTGCATGTCAGGCAGTACAAAATTCAATATTTTGGTCAATAACTTGGCAGCAAGATAAAATTGTATGATCTTCCACACCATGTCAGTTCAAATCCAGTCTGCTGTGTGAAACCACCCGACACAGGAAGTGAAAGGAAAGTTTATAAGAGGAAGGCAGGCTGAGTGACATTTTCTCCATCTTGTAGTAGTCAAGAGCTTTACCAGTTTTGGAACCAAGAAAGTTATTTTTTTATGTTATCTCTTAAAGAGAACCAAAATCATAAGAGAGACAAAGACAGTAGAAGGATACATTTGTTCTTTAAGACGTTGAGTCCTGAGGTGTCATGGCTTGCCCCGAAACACAGAGGTGTTCCACTCGCCAGGGGACATTTAATTGTTTTTTATCCAAGACTCTTTAGTTTGCACTTATCAGATGAGCAGAGAATTGTGCTTCTATCAACCCAAATAAAAATGCCATGCCACAAAAAAAAAGTTGAGAATTATTTTTATCTTCCCCCATCCTACCTGTCTACCTCTGTGTCTGAGATCATTATCTGGTGTACTGCAGTGCTGGTGTTCTATCACTCTGGAGATTCTCAAGGAAGAGTGAAATCCCTCAGGAGAGAGATAATGGTCACCATAACTGCAATGTTTATGGCTGTTTCTAAGATTCAGTAGCATCAGACGGCTGTGTGTGAGGTAAGTGATGCAGTCCAGTGTCACTGGGGAGCCATATGACATTGCAATGACTTCTGAAAAGTCCCCCTTGGCTGGCTGTTAGTTCCCTAACAAAATAATGCTACTACTCAACAGCACCTAAGGGTCTCCTTCTCTATTGAAATGCTGAAAGAGAAAACAAAGAAGTGAAGGACCTGCATTTTGTAGTTTATAGTATTTGTTTAGTTCTAACACAAGATAGCTGTACTGAAGGGAAAGAATAAAGAAGCCAGTGGTACTGTGAAAATCAGAGAGGCAAAAAGGGAGATTGTGGCAAGCACTGAGCCAGACACTGCAATCAATTAGCTGATTGCGGAACTACAGTCCCCTACATTACATCTGCCAGCAGCAGTGAAAGATGTACAGCTTAAAATTCCTCCTCACAAAAATACAAAGCCTGTGAAACTCTAGTCATAAATACTTTAAAGGAAAGGGTCTGCTCTGGTATAGATTTCATCACCTTGATAATCAGCAGCCTTTCAGTAGTATCCATTTATAAATAGAAGATCCTTGGAATAGAGAGATGTGAATGCAGATGTCTGACGTAATAAAGCTCAAACTAATCTCCAGTATTTTATTAAGAAATCATTAGACTGAACTGCTTCAGGTGAAATCTTTCTCCATTGAAGTTAGCAGCAAAATTCCCTCTGACTTCTGACAGCAAGAAATAAAACCTTTTCAACAAAATTATTAAGCTGCAGAACAGCTAAAAGGTAAGGAATTAATTTTTCTTAAATGGAAATCTGTATCTATCTCACAAACATAACTAGAGAAGAGATTCTATTGATTTTTACCTAATTTGTTATATTTACTGATATAAAGAGTCTTTGAGAGTCCTTTTTTATTTTCTGGCAATAACTACCTGTGATTTTTTTAAAATTGTACTTTAGAAAAGGTGATTTTAAAAACAAAAAGATAATCTTCTCACAAACAACTGGGTAAGTAGCTCAACTTTCACTGCAGCAAACTGAAAAATCCTACCTAGAATGTTGCAATGAGCAGTGCTTGGGAAGAGTCTTTTGGCAAGTGTTTCTGACTCAGAGTTTAGAGAGATATGTCTATTTTCAATGTTCTCAGCGAGTTATTCCAGTGCTGGCTGGGCCTAGTCTGATTGTTGTGTTATGAATTCTATCTGTCTTTTTGCTACAATTATATGACCCTTTAAAGTAATTTTAGAAAACACTTTATAAAGAGCATTGTCAAAAGAGACAGGCAAACAACAGACTATCATCATAAATATTCAAACAATTTGTGATC